AGGCGAGGAGGGGGAGAGGGGGTAGTTTACACAAACGGCAGCAAGGAAAAACTTGACAAGAAGAAACCCGGCACGTCCAAAGGAACACGAGCGATGCGGCACCGCTCGTTCGGTGAAATTCAGCGCGGATTCGAGCACCGACACGCCGTCCCTCGCAAAACATTTACACCGAGCCGATCTCTCTCAGAAACTTGGTCGATCGTCCAGCTGACCATGCGGTCAAGCGGCCGACACACGGAGTCCGAGTTTGGCCGGTAGTCCCGCGTCTCCTCGCATCGACAGTTTCTTGGAAGAGTGAAACAATTGTCAGGTGGACAACAACAAATCGATGAATGAATAAACGGCTGGATGGGTGGATTGTCAACCCTCCGAGCGTCCGACTGACTTGCCGGCCGCTTGGACCGATGGGTGGCGAGTGAATGGCGGCGTAGACCTGAGCGGCGTGGGGATGGATGCGAAACTCCACCCTGCGCACGCCTTACTCCCTCTGGCGTATTGCTGCCGCCGCGGCACGAAAGGTTCTCGGTCGTGGCTGGTCTCGATTCTCTCTTTGCTCTTCGAGTCCCGATCGTCCAGAGGAAGGCAAGGGAGAAGAAAAGGATATGCCGACGGGATCTTCAACGACCCGCACCCCGTTACCTCCGCGTGCTCAAGTTGGATTCTCGCAAGGTCTGGCCTGCTTTCTCTCAGCGGTAGCTCGCTCGTTTGCTGAGCCTGTCGTAACGGCGACCGACAGGCAGAGGCCCTGAATAAGAAGTCGGCGGACTAAACGCCGAAGCAGGCCGAGTTACTGAGTGGCCGTCGAGCGAACGGGCTTTGCGAACGGGAGGGCAGTCGAGCACGCCGATCGACCAAGGGAGCGGCCGCCGGGCTGGGCGACAGGAATAGATTCACGCTCTCGACGCGCTCGAAATATCCACACCCCACACAACGACAAGCAGCACGAGAGGATACCTGCCTTCCTCCCTCTCTGCGCTCCCGGTCCAACCCGACCCAAGCTATCCTGGATCACCTGATTCCCAGGTTCTCGCTAAGGACTGCCGATGAACCCACGGCCAGGCTGACGGCTAAATATACCCGAACCCAAATTAGAAGTTTGCTGTATACGCAGCTGCACCACCAGCTTTGTTCGAGCTCTGGGAAAATCCACCGACGAATATATGTTTCGGCAGTGTCGTGGCATGAGCTTTTGAGGAGAACACTGAGGACAATCTTTGTGGAACTGGCTCTCATGACAAAATCCACAACCGGAGTCCATGCGATTGATGTTCGGATACTCGGAATCTAAGAAATCAGCGATCGAGAACGAGAGGAATCGGAGTGTTCAGAGGAATGACGATACACTCTTCCTTTGGGTTTGCGGACCTCGGGCTCTCTCGCCGGGATGAGATCTCTGAAAAACCGTCTCTCTTCCCTCACCCTCCGATCGAACTCTGCAAATGGCAATCAATGCCGTCGGGATGGCCGTCGTATCCAGATACGTAACTGTGATATGCGCTGATAAACCGTACTGTGATAAATGAGTATACCGATCAAGCAATTTATCGCGCGTATCGATTCGCATCTCAAGACAGATGGTCGCCGCTCTCGATTTCCAGAATGGGACCTATCCCTAGCTCCCTCGACGAGCTTCTCCGAACGATCAAAGGGCGCGTATCAGCGCGTGGTGCGTGGCGAACTCCCGAGTGGAGAAGTCCTCGTTCGGAGTCCCACAGGCACAGGTAGAGTGAGCTGAGTCTGCCAGCCCGTTTTGAGCTGCGGTGAGTTCCCGACTATTGAAGGTCTACGACAGGTGCCGAGGAGCACATCCACATCGGAGAGTGAAGGAAAAGAAAAAAAACAGCAGCTCTTGCGGGGCCCACGCTGGTTCGGGGACACGGCACGCTAAATTTCGAGCGGGTGAGTATCGTCGGAGCCGAAATCCCTGAATGGTCATTTCAGTGAAGAATAAATCCGCGTCCGAGGTCCACGCCGAGCAGCTGCAGAAGAGCGAACCGACTGGTGTATATTTGTCGAAATTCTCGTGCCGGTTCTCGAAGTACCGCTCGAAGCAGCTCGAAACGTCAGCATATCGCGGACGAGAGCCGGAATCAGACTCGACGGCCATTCAGAGACCGGAGCTCACCCGTAACATTCCCGACCTGAGTAGGCCGGCCAAAGCTAACAGCTGGAGTGACCGCAACAGGCAAGAGCGACGGCGGGAGCAACGGCGCATATGTAATTACAATGAAGTCCATTTGTCGACTAGGTTCGCTGACAACAACGACCGTGATGACGACCTCGCCCTGCATTAGACTTATTTCGGATGGCTATGCAGCTACACTCACGCAGAAAAGAAACGCTACACGACAACCGACGGCAGCGAGAACAACAACACCAACAGCAGCAGTGGGGGATCCTGATGAGAGCCACGGATAAAAATAATAGGTCCCGGCGTAGAAATTATTGTTGAAGGCGGATCTTGCATTAGCTGCTGGGTCGAGTGGGCTCTTGGCCACTGGGTCAGCAAGGGTTTGTCCACGGCACTGAGAATCGCAATGGACCTACAACCTGAATTATTCGCGATGCTTTTTCGCCTCCTGCACGCTCGCTCCCAGACAGGCGAGCGTGGGGATGGGTTGTCGGTGGGCTCCAGGTCCCGTTCGCTCAGTCTTAGCTGAGGCTGTCGTGTTGGTGTGTTCGAGTTGCTTGACCCGCTCGAAGATATATTTGGCCGACAGGGGGTGGAGGGGGGTGGGGGGGGGGCGGAAAGGCTGATGGGGATCGGGGCTCGTTGGAGCCGAGGAATATCGGGCCGACTAGGCAGCTAATCGACTGCGTGTTCGCAACTCCAGAACATCTTGCACTGTTGCTGGTCTCAGCGCGCCCGGCGGCCGGCGTGGGCTCGATCGTGCTAAACGCAGCGGGCTTAATATCTGAGTGCGAGCTAAATGAGGAACTCATCGAGCTCACTGCGGGAGCGCCGACGTTGTTGCGACGGTTCCGTTTTGAGCGCACCGCGTTCGACGGGCCCCGGCTCGTTCCCGACTCGTCGAGCTCTGTTTGTTCGAACAGCTCTACGCAGAAGCAGCCGAAAGGGGGGAGGTGGTAGCGATGGCGGTAGCAGCCGAGTTAGGCAATCGTTACGCGCAGAGCTCCCACGAGCACCACCGACTCGAGCAGGAGCGTTCTCCGGTTTTATTTTCCCGTCTTTTCCCCGTCCGAGTCCTTTCCTCCGTCCCGTTCGCTCGCTCGCGCCGTCGTAGCTCGAATATGAGAAGGCCTTCTTTGCCCACAGGCAAATTATGTGTAGGGCAGGTGTGTCTGAGTGCCGCTAAGACAGCCAACTCGAGTACTCAGGAGTTAGCGGCCGACCAACTCTTGTCTCGCAAGTAGAGACACAAGGCGACGATCTCGCCGCTGGCCAACAGTCGATCAGGTAACTCTTTAAAAACATACTCGGCTGCAGGTGCTCAGGCTGATTCCGCTGCTGCTGCTTTGGCGGCTAGCGCTGTACCTGGGACACGGAATTTCACTACAGCGACAAGAGCTGCACTTCATCACTTCGAGCGCGGATAGAGCTCCTGGAGGAATGAGGATTTCGCCCCTCACGGGGCGAAGGTGTACGGTGGAAAAACCAATGTTTATCACTCCGATTCCACGCGAAACAGTCCGGGTTGTGTTTTTTTTTCGTGCGGCAAACGCGTATTACACTCGGCACGCAAAGCCCGAGCTCCATTCAGCTGTTCCACTTATAAGCGTTAATAAACTCGAAGCATCACGCGCTCGATCCTGCACCGCAGCACAGGAAGCGATCTCAATGCCTTGCGTTGCGCCCTCCCCGACCCGGTACCCATCGCATGCATGAGCTCAAAAAGGTGTCCTCGAGCTAGATCCGGTTTCATTCGGAGAGGGCAAGCACTTATTCCTCGGAGACTGAACTGTCAGCTGCGTCCACAATTCCTGGAGCATCCGAGAATGCGTCAATGAACTCGCACATGATCAAGGCCATGACGCTCCGAGCTGGATGGGAGCGAGGCTTTGTCGCCCGTCTCCTCGCCGCCCTCGAGCATTTCAGCTGGGAGCTACGTGGCTTCGTACAGCCTCCAAGGCTGATAGGTTAGGAAATGCTGATCGTATAATATTCTCTTCCCATCCCAGCGACATCGGCAGACAAACGGTCCGCGTCGGTAGGCTAGCAGCTCCGCGCTGATCCGACCGATCGAACCCGTGGTCAGCGCGGGTAGAGACCTTCGTGGGCTCGCCCCTCGGCTCGCTTCCTCTGCGGCGAATTCTCCAAGCTAATCGCCCGATTTCCAGCTGCATACGCCCCCATCCCGCTATTATAAAAAAACGAAGAGAGCCCGGAAAGGAGCGGGCGAGCTCCGGCAACCCATATCTCCAGCATTGAGTGCGAGGGGCGCTCGGTCCCAGGGGCGTACGCAGAGGGGGGGCTAAGGGGGCTATAGCCCCCTCCCATATGGTTTCTTCGTAATGCTGTAGTATAGGACAGAATCGCCATATTGGATTTCAGCCCCATGCGGAGACCCGATCTAGCCCCCCCCCAAGAAAAATCCTGCGTACGCCACTGCTCGGTCCTCGTGCGGGAGGCTGACTCGGTATGAGCATGGTAGCAGAAGATCCCGAAGATACGGAAAAGCCTACGATCTTGTGAAACTGTAGCCGAGGCTCAAACGACCGCCTGGATACCAATTTTGATAGATATTTCGAAATCATGTCATGTCCAATCGGGTCCATGACCTGTTTCCAATCACTGAAGAGTTGCTGTCGAGCTAACGCTGGGATGAGCAAATGTCAGCGCAGGACTCGATGACCAAGGACTCCACTGGAATGCCCCGCTGCTGCCCGGGGTCCGCGCATATACTCCCAATCATGACTATCGAGAATCTTGGATTTGAGAGAACGTATCTCACTCAGAGAATCGCAGCGTAGGCACACTGACGCGCCCTCCATGGGGCTTTGACTACGGTTGATGAACGCTCTCAGATCTGTGAACTCACCTCTTCTTCAGTGTTGACTGAGTCCATGCTCTGACTAAGAGTCATTGGACTTTCGTTAGTTCCGTTAGCAGACATGTCCGGCACTTTGTAGTTGTTGTCGATAAGATGAATTGTTTCTCAAACTGTCGAATTAATTCCTTGTTGTTGAAGCTTCGGAACTATCAGAAGCCGGAACTGCAGCTAAAGTGGTCGTTTCTTCTTTGAAACGTCTTCCCGTGACCGAATCTCGTCGCGCTCGAAGTTTCGGTCGACTCCGGGGCCTCAAGGGTGCCGCTCCGACGATGAAGATGATGAACTGATGATTCCGTTGCGGATGATAGGGATGACCGCGGTGGAGAACGAGTTGAACTTGACGTTGCTCTTTTGATAGTTGCGAGAATGCTACTTTATGAAAATGATGATGACGATGGTGGTGGTGGTGGTGGTTGACGGTGATAGAGTCTAGATCTAGCGAACAAAAACTCGACACGCAGGGTCAAACACTTCGCGGGATTCTAACAACTGGCAACAACTGCGAAGGGTCGAGCCGCTGGAAAGAAGAGAGGAAAAAACAAATCGTTAGAAAAGGTTTCCAGAGTTCCCGTCGCATACATTCGACTCATTCCACGATTCTTCCTGTCTGTTCGCTTCCTCAATCCCATGGAGCTCCTCTGAGAAGTCTGGCCAAAGTCACTAAAGGTTTTCTTCGCTTTCTTTCTTTTTCCGACGAAACTTCACGGAATTCGCAAACCTCGGACCGATACCCGTTCTGAAGTCCGAATCTGATTCTCTCGTGGGATCGAAACACCGATATAACTTTTTTCAAGAATATCAGCCTAATTCGACACTCGTGATTTGTGAAAGAAAACACGCCAACAGGAACCGGTCGCTCAAAGCCGAAAAGCGTTCCGTCACCACCGTCACGGTAGCATTGCAGATTTTGGGAGCGTTTGTCGGAGCTGTTGGCGGCCGCCGTCGCTGTCGATATTGTCGTGGTCGTTGTAGTCGGTAATGAGATCCAAAACATCTGGCGGCTGACTGAGAGCACATGGTAGCCGAGCAGGCAAATCTACGAGGCCCAGTCAATCCATGGCCGGCATGTACATCGGCGGCGCTTCCGTAACTTCAGCCCGAGTGTACGAACAGCTCCAGCAGCCGCATCTGCCTCCGTCGGTGAAGCTGTGTGAGCGTACGGCTGTAAAGCGAGCGATCGCGCCAAAGAAGCTCCGCGTCTGAGGCAAAGTAGACGCTCGCCGTCGTTTGGAAACTCTGCCTTCTTCCAGGTGACCATTTCAGAAACCGTCCGAAACTGCGTTCAACTGTGCGGAGCCTGTTCAGCATCGGACCTTCGAGGGGGAGAATCCGACGCATGTGCCATAAAGCAATTTTTCCGGTCGGGACGTCCGATCATAGGTTTCGAAGAACCGGGAGGAAACGCAGACAAACCCATGAACTCGAAAGAACACCCACGAGGGAATACGCGGCAGTCTCGTAGGAGCTCGGGAAGAGAATGAAGTCGAACAGGATAGCAAGCGCCCCGTCGACGTGTCTTACGTGACCCAGTCAATCCGACCACGAAACCGAATCAAGTCTCCTACAATCACTTGCTCGCTGCTTCCCGGACGCCTCCGAACGTCCATCGGAGCAAATAAAACGGAGTCAAGCACTCGGCCGGGGCTCCCAAGTTGCGCGAGCCGACTCAGTCGATTTTGGAAGTTTCCAAAGATTTTCCAACGCTAAACTGCGCGTAATGGATGGCCCAAATTGAGCTTCAGCAGAGCGAGGCAATTATGTTGTGGAGCACACAGCGAGTAGCCCGCAACCTAACGCATGGGGCAATTAATCAACCGATGCCAACAAACCACTGCAAACACTATCCGCGCGGGAGAGCGGCTCGCGAGGTCTCGTCATGATTAACTTTGCCATTTCAATCCGATGAAGCGAAAGTGAAGCTCGTGCTTCCTCCGAATTTTCCCGAACGAACTCGAGTCCAGCCGAGCCCGGAAAGGATACTATCCGTCAGTGTGCCAAAAGTGGCCCAGAAGCTCTTCTCTCTCCCCGACTCTCGGACCGCGAGCTCAGCTCGCGTGGAAATTCCGGGGGTCCCCTGCGCTTGATATTCCAATATCGATCCCGTTCTTTCGCATACTACTGGGCAGCTGTATTTTCTCGTTTACCCCGGCGGGGTCTCGACATCGCCACCCCTAAGTTTTAGCTTTCCGCGGGAAACGGAAAGCAGTCGAGAACGGCGCCCGTCCTGCCGGCAGGTGCAGAGGTGCTTCTTTCGCGCGAAAGGCTGATCAGCGGCTGACCATTGTGGAGAAATTTCCGTGGAAGATGAAGTCATGTTTTCTTCCCGACCGAAGCTGGGTTCTGTTTCAATAGTCCTCTGTCCCGATCAGCTGGGAACCGAACGGATGACTTGCTCGCCGAATGACTGACTGGCTGGCTGGCAGGCGGACTACTCCACCCAGTTACAGTACCGACTCGCCGAGCGCTCATTCTACCGACTCGAGCGACCAGCGGAGCGACCGACATCACAAGACCCGACATATGCAGAGCACCTCTGGTGGCTGCTCTCGTGAAAAAAAAACCATCGTATCACACAAATCGAGCGATTCGCACTTATTCCGTTGGATATCCTCTCCGAGGGAGAACTTCCCGGAGGAAGCGCGATTCGGTCCCTCGTCGGGAGGGATCTGCGGGAGAACAGCGTTGCGGACATCGACCGCAACCATGAGTTGAAAAATTGGCGTCATGAATCAAGATCGAAAATGTTTGCCCAGAGTGGGTTCCCTCGGGTTTTTAGAACATGTTCAGGCGTCACGAATAGATGATCCGAGTGCCGGACAAGCTGCATGCCGGAAGCTCCGGAATTCCCCTCACATCAGGATCAGGAGAAGTCCGTTCTCCACGCTCCGGGCATTGCAATAACTAGATATTGGTTTCTCTCTTGCAGGGAAAAGAAACATAAGGATCGCTCCATGTGATATTCCTTCCGCAATAGGATCTCTCCGATGCTTCATCTCCGATCCACTTTGACCTGCTCGAGCGATTAGCCGCTTCCCGCTTTCCTCCGAACCTTCACCTGTTTTTTCCTCCTGGCTACGTACGCAATGTACCTTGAGCTGATCCCGCTGGAGTCCCGCTCCAAGAGGGATGAGGCTCGCGGTCGTTCAAAGTTTTGTGGCGGAGTAAATCTCCACCGGGTTTCTATCCGGCTGGACAACCCGAACTCGCGTGGAGCGCTCCCGACCCAAGACCCTGAAATCTTGTTCGCGTCGAACTCTTTCGATATTCGCTACGGAACGGTCTTAGATCGACACATAACCTATCGGCCCGAATGAGCGTGAACTTGGGAACAAGCACCTAAAATCGAACCGCGGGGGCTGTCTTCGCATTCCCCGAAGAATTTTCTTCCCATTTTCGAAAGACAAGAGGCGGAGCACTCTGCGTCCATCTCCACGGGCTTATTCCGTCCCGGAGAGGCATATTCGTTTTCCATATTGTCGCTCTCCGATTCGAGTTACTTCAGCTCTCTCTTTTTCTGGTGCCCGCGCCGGTGCCGACGCCTTCCGCAATGAAGTTCGCAACGCTCAGAGTAGCAGCGTGACTTTGCCGTGCTCGAAGAAAGCATCTTTCTATTGAGTTCTCGGATTTCTCGAATTTCAGTCATGTCTGGCTTGTGCACTACGGGTGCATCACGGAGATGTTTCGGTTTCGGGAGAGTAGGGCCCGAATCAGATACTCTGAATCGTTCGAATAGTCACCAGAGGCTCACTCGTATCAGAATACGAGAAATCGATCTGACCGAATTTGGGGACTCGGGAATCAGGAATGGCGCGCACAGCTGTGCGCGCAGTGGAGCTGGAGCTTGGGTAGTGCTTTTCCTGAGTCGCCGAAGACGCTTCGAGCTGCGTTATCGCGCGGACCGATGATCAGGAGCAATCTGATCAACGGTGATAGACTCATCCCCGTATTGAAGTTACGCGACCGAAAGACGTCGCTTCTGGACTTTCCATTCCCTGCGTGGCACGGCGCGTTGTCGTGGCTGTAAGGGCTGCGAGCAGGCCGTCGTCGACGTGTATCTCGCGACGAGTACAAAACCTCGTGCGAGTTATGAGAAGCGACCTGGACAATCTATTCCGGCGCGGGGTACGCAACGGATACACCGATAAAAGCAATAAGGTGACGTGCTGGTGTATACGTCGAGAGCATCTACAGCCAACACGTCATCGTATCTCGTTCGCCCAACATTCTTGACGGAGTCAGGAGTCACAGCTGATGGTGAGCTCACGACATCATTGTTATCGTTTCGATATTGATAGGTGTGCTTCCTCCACTCCAAGCATCGTCCCCGTTTTCTGAAGAGAAGTTACGGCTTGACGTCTCAAGTCGTCTGCTCGACATTAAAACTGCAGGGCTTTCGAGGGCACTTCAGGACCTGCGGGTTGAAGGCTGCTCGGGAGCTTCGTCAACAACGCATCCGGCCGCGGCGCGCGACCGAAGAATATCATCCTTGCCGAGTTTGGCGGGAGAAGGAGGAAGGAGCGGGTGACGGATTCTACCGCGAGGAATGACGACGAGAGAGGTCTGTCGTCAACGTCAACGTCGTTTTTCGTCGCCGAGCTCGATACGGCAGCTTTCCTGCCCGTTCTGCGGCCAAGCGCATGGGACAAGCAGCAGAGAATAGCAAAGAAGGGTCCACGTCGAAGAACAAAAGGAATCTGAGCTCTCAACGTCTTATTATACCGACCTCCTCTGAATTGAAAAAACACTTCGCCTCGTCGCTCAGACTGGACGTGAGGACACCGCGAATCGTCGCGGGAATCCCCGCACATCTCGCCGAAACGCTTTGTTTTCGTCTAATTTTTTGTCGAATATATTTCTCGACTTTTTTTTATTCTCGGGACAGCGGCCCGGGTCTTCCGCGGGATGTCCATTTCCGTCAAGATTCGGCATCACTTCATGAATTTATTATTTAGCATACGAGACGGCGGTTTCCACAAAGGGAGGACCTAGGAGGACTCCCCGATTCTGGGAGGGGTCCCGGATCCCAGGAGGGAATGGAACACGCGGACGAGCTCTCCGGTGTC